AAAAAAATAATAATAATAATAATGATAATAAAACGTAATCGTGCGGATAAGAATGATATTGCAATATTATGCAAATATTATCTACAATGACCTCCTTACAATAAGTATCAATTAGAGAAAAATTACATTTTTAATAAAAAAAAAAAACTAATTTACATTAAAGTTGTAATAAATTAAAATTAAATTATATTAAAATTTAAAATAAAATGTTCACGACTTAATTTCGTAACCGTAAATTTTGCATATTTTTAAAAATAATTAAAAACTAGTTCGTTGAAATATTTAACATTTTTTTTTAGAAATTTGTAACTTTTTTCTTGGACTTCAAAAATTTTATATCTCTCTCTTTATACATTTAGAGTTAAATGTCATTGAAATTAAATAAATGCACTTTCAAAAAACCTATAAAAATCCAAATGTTTAAAAATTCATAACTCGAAAATTTAGGAACTGTTCTTATAAAAAAATATTTATGCGAATTTAAAATAATGTCATAAATGAATTTAAATTGAAATTAATAATAAATTCATTTTATACTAAATTAAAAAAATGTAATATTGAAAATAAATTTTAAAAATTTATAAAAAAAATATTTTTAGTATTATAGCACACCCGATTGAAATTGAAATTAATATAATTATACAGTCGAACCTCGATAAGTGAGAATCCAAGGGACCGGAAATTCTTTCTCACTTATAGAGGTTTCTCAGTAAGACAGGTTCTTACTTATTAAGTTCAAATAAGAGCGGGTTTTCTCACTTACAGAGGTTATTACACAGATAGACGCTTTTTAATAAGAAATTTCATATAATTAATTATTTAACTAGAAAATTGTCTGTCTAAGAAAAATTTAATTTTATTTTGAATTTTTTATCTTAAGGTCGAACTTAAGGGTACTGGAACCACCTAACTTTAGACTTCAGCAGTTTAGACTGTGTTGACATCAAGTATGGGCGAGACAGGTGTCAATTTCTTTTTATTCTTTTAGGTGTATTTTGTGCAAAAATATGCATTAAAATAGCTCACAGTAAACTTGGTTGTATCTTTTTCTATTGCAACGTTTTGATGCACATAAGTTATATCAAAAAGAGATCGTTTTGTGTATCATTTTTAGCAATGATACACGAAACTGTCTCATTTTTTGATGCAAAAAATTTAATCAATTTATATCAATCATGGCCGAATTGAATCGACTCAAAATTAAACGAATTTTTTTCAGATATTTTGGTAATAGTACAATTGCGGAGACCATTGCACTATTTAATTTGAATATGAAAAAAAAGAAAATCAATGACAATGTGCAATTCGATAATTAAAAAGTGACAGCTTATAAACATAACCTAAAATGCATGAGAAAAAATTTGTCGATAAAATCAATATAGTCGAGCTTTTTAGAAGGTAGATGGCAGCACTCATCTATTTTCTTTCTTTAAATTTTTTCTGAATCGTTTTTATAAAAAGCAAAACTGCCATCTACCTTCTAAAAAGCTCCGCTATATTGATTTTATCGACAAATTTTTTCGCATGCATTTTAGGTTATGTTTATAAGCTGTCACTTTTTAATTATCGAATTGCACATTGTCATTGATTTTCTTTTTTTTCATATTCAAATTAAATAGTGCAATGGTCTCCGCAATTGTACTATTACCAAAATATCTGAAAAAAATTCGTTTAATTTTGAGTCGATTCAATTCGGCCATGATTGATATAAATTGATTAAATTTTTTGCATCAAAAAATGAGACCGTTTCGTGTATCATTTCTAAAAATGATACACAAAACGATCTCTTTTTGATATAACTTATGTGCATCAAAACGTTGCAAAGATTTGATGCAATTTTTGGTCTCAATTTGATACTTTTAGGAAAAGTGTGAGTCTGTCTAAGAAAAAAATGAATTTTTTCGGAATTTTGTTTAGATAAGGGTTGCTTTAAGGGTGATAAATAGGGTCTTCCTCTACTAGCATCGGACTGTAAATTTTTTTCTACACGTTTGGGTGTATTTTGTGCAAGAAATTGCATTGAAATAGTCTGCCTAAGAAAAATTGAATTTTTTTGGAAGTTAGAAGATTCTTAATGGTGGTAATAGGGGTCTTCCTCTACTTGTATCGGGGTGTCAATTTTTTCTACACTTTTGGGTGTAATTTGTGCAAGAAATTGCAATAAGAAAGTCTGTCTAAGAAAAAAAATGAATTTTTTCGGAATTTTTTTATGAAAGGGGTTGTTTTATGGGTGGTAAAAAGGATTTTCCTCTACTCGCATCGTGCTGTCAATTTTTTCCTACACTTTAATGTGTAATTTGTGCATGAAATATCAATAAAATAGTCTGTCTAAGAAAAAAATTAATTTTTTGGGCATTTTTTTTGAATTTAGGGGATTCTTAAGCGTGGTAATAGGGGTCTTCCTCTACTTGTATCGGGGTGTAAATTTTTTTCTACACTTTTGGGTATATTTTGTGCAAGAAATTGCATTGAAATGGTCTGCCTAAGAAAAATTGAATTTTTTTTTGGAATTTAGAAGATTCTTAAGGGTAGTAATAGGGGTCTTCCTCTACTTGTATCGGGGTGTCAATTTTTTTCTACACTTTTGGGTGTATTTTGTTCAAGAATATGCAATAAAATAGTCTGTCTAAAAAAAAAATGAATTTTTTTATCTTTAGGGTTGCCTTAAGGGTTGTAATAAATGTCTTTCCCTACTCGTATTTGCAATAAAATAACAAATTTCTGCAAAGTGTTAAATCAATTTATTACGGATTTATTTAATGATAAGCATTTTATAGCTCAAATTTTTTAATATGTTTGAAAAATATAGTTGATAGAATTCTAAATTAATTTCTATTTTTTGAAAAATTTAGTGCAGGAAAGCAATATGAACCGTATCGAATTATAAGTTTTTCATGTTACCGGAGAAATATTAACAAACATAAAATAGTAAAAAAAAAATTGTGTACTGTCCAATTTTCTAATTGGTAGATAGAGGATAGCGGAATATCAAATTTTTTACATAAAAAAATATTTTTTCTAATTGGTTAATTAATAGAAATGACTATAAGATATATTTTTAGTCAAAAATTTATAGAATTTTTTATTTTAAAAAATTATTTCTTTAAAAATCGTTTATCACAAATGTTGCGTACCTCTTCTTACGTCTTTTTCTCGAGATTTTACCTTGATTTTAAATTTCATTTAATCTATTTGGGCTTTGAAACCGTTTAATTTGTTTCTATAAATAAATTAATAGAGGAAGGTTTTTTTTCAAAATTTTTATTACAAATCTAATTTTGTAATGGTAATACGAATCAATTTTTTTTTCTTTATTTTTATCTTTAATTCAAACTTTAATCTTTAGTTCATTATTATAATTAATTAAAATTAAATCAATTAATTAAATAATTATTGATATTTTAATTTATAATGAAAGTTATTATATTTTTTATTAATTATTTATTTTTTTACTTTTCCCAAGTCCTTGGGCTACGATTTAACTTACCGTATGTTTTTTTTTGTAACTATTTTTCCAATCCAACGATGAACATTAGGCACTGAAATTTTTCTCTCTTTTTTCGTATATAAATAAACAAAAATTATTCTAACCAACTAATTATAAAACAAAAACATTCGTGCTATCTGACAGTTGAAAAGTTGACATATATCTTAAGGATTCTCCAGGGGGTATGGTGCGGAGTAAGGGGATAGTTTCTGTTCTTCCCGTGTGAAGGCTCACAAGTTTGCAACCTTAGAAAAAATAAATTTTTATTTGATAAGTAAGGTTCTTGTCCTTATTGATAGGAGAATTGTTTAGAAAAAGGTGTATAAATTAATAATAAGCTATCCTCGTTACTAAAATATTATAAATTCTATTTAATTAAATTTTTTAAAAAGTGCTTGAAATCATGGCAACGTCGCATTCTCGTCGCGTAGTTTATGTAAGGTTGGTAAGACTGGTCTTTGTATGTATATATGAATGTAACACAGATTGGGCCTACACCTGATCTAACAGCTAACCTCAAATTTTTTGTTATATGTTATTATTTAATTGTTGAACTTCCCATAAAACACTTAAAATTGAAATGAAAATAAGATTATTTACTTATAAGAAATTTGTAATATAAGTCGTTCACCTCAAAATTTGAAAATAAAATGGAAAATATAAATAGTTTATTTATTATACTTTATTTCAATTTGCATGATAATTAGTAAACAAATATCCAATTAAATAAAACTGTGATTATAGTAGTTTTGAACTATATTTTATTTTGACAAAAATATTTAATTATAATTTGAGGTTATGTACGTGTATTTTTATCACTCTTTTTGTTTTCCAATAATTAATCAGAATTAAATTTATATAAACTTTCAAATTAAACATAACATACAATATTCTATTAAAATTGCAGTTTAATCCATTATTTTCTAAAAATAATATAAAAAAATATCTATCAATTTGTCGACTTGCATTTGAAATTCGCGGCGAGTTGCTGCGCAAACGTGCCAAACACGTGTTGCGACGTTGCCACGTTTTCATGTCTGCTACACTTACTATTATTATTATGACAAAAAATGAAACTTTATTATTTATTTACTCAAAAACTATGTGGTAAACTTTCTTTATATTTTGCAGTTAATAAATTTATCATATTTTCTTCCTGTATACCAACTTTCAGATTTTTGTGTCATTTCCATCGCACACTTTTTTCCTATGGTTTATACACGTTCCCATAAGAGCCCATGTTAAATTGGTCATATATTTTATTTTTTTTTTCTAAAAAACTACGTGGTAAAAAATTCTGAAAAAAATCATAACTTCCTAAATCAATCTAATGAACAAACTGTCAAAATTTGGTAATTTCCTTATATTGCCAGGGAGAATCCTTAACGCGACTATTTGGAATTGAAAAATTATCTTTTTTAAACCTAATTAGATTTTTGAATAGAGCAAACTCGACATAAATAAATTGATATTATTTAGAATAAGGATAAAAAAAACACTTGAATCATTTGTTTCATAATATAATGTCCATTTAAAAGGTCTTTTTTATTCACGTATTTTAATCACTTTTCGTCTTTCTCTTATTGTTTTAAACAATATTGTATAGCGCTTTACTGACGCTTTTTGTTGACATTACGTTGAGAAGGTACAATAGGGCGGAAATTCATGTCACAGTATAGGGGTAAAGTTACAATACAAGTCAGCAGGAAGTTCGCGTTAATCAAGCTCAGCTTAATAACTTTTTGTTTAATACAGTTATATAGGCATATATATATATATAGTTAACAGATGAAATTTTTGCAGAAGAAATTCGCAAACAAAAGACTTAACTGCTAAACATAATAATATTCTACATATAATATACATAGTTTGACACGCTACTATATAAAAGAAATCGATTTTTAAATTTACTTTTCTTTATTACATGTGACAATTCAATTAAATCAGATATAATAAACCAATTTCGTGTGTATATTTTTCAAGGACTTTTTAGTGACAATTTAAGAATTTTATTTTGTTTTGAAAAATATTGAGGCCAATTAGAGAGAATAACTTGTATTTTTTTTTCCTGTCAAGAGCTTGTTTGGATTTTTAACAACTCTTAAATATCCTCAATGTATTCACAAGGATTTTGTATTATAGAAGATATACATTTACTAATAAAATTGGTCAAAGATTTTTCGACATATTAGTCTCGATGTTTCTAATATATATATATATTATAGTTTATATTACAGTTTAGTTTAGAGATTGAAAATTTTTGTCAGAAATATATTGTGTCAGATAAAAATTTCTTAAAATTACATAAATCTGCTATATAGTTATATAAACAGTGGCGTAGGAACCAGTGAGACAAGGGGGGCAGTTGTCCCATTTAGTTTTTAAGGCTAGGTGCAACTCGTCAAATGTAAACAAACATGAAAATGTACGTAATTATTGACAAATTTGCAACAGTCCTTTTTTTAAATAGAAAATAAAAATTGTTCTTTTTCTATGTAAAAATGGAAAATTCATATATATGTATATATAAAACTACAGCCTGACGCTGTATTTGACTAATAATATGAATAATATTAATAATTATAATAAAATGAAAATTATACTGAAACAACAATTTTCTCTAGGTTACGAAAAAAAAACCATTTGAGTATATCTGAGGCACGGACGTTGAGAACCTAGGTGGGAGAAATAGTGTGGGAAGGGGTAAAAGACCTAGTCTCTGTCCTCTGGTGCGGGTATAATTTCAGAATTTTACCCTTTCCAAGATGTGACCGTCCAATCGCTTAACTCTTTCTCCCACCTAGGTTCACAACGTCCGTGCCTCAGATATACTCAAATAGTTTTTTTTTCGTAACCTTAAGAAAATTGTTTTTTCAGTGTAATTTTCATTTTATTATAATTATTAATATTATTCATATTATTAGTCAAATACAGCGTCAGGCTGTAGTTTTATATATATAAATTTTCCATTTTTACATAGAAAAAGAACAATTTTTATTTTCTATTTAAAATAAGGCTGTCGAAAATTTGTCAATAATTACGTACATTTTCATGTTTGTTTACATTTGACGAGTTGCACCTGGCCTTAAGGAGATTGGAGGGTAAACATAACCTCAAAAACCTGTCAAAACTAAAAAATTGTTTTTAACGCAAACAAAAATATAATAAATATTAATTTCCAACAATTTTAGACGATCTAGATTTACTCCTTTTGAAAAAAATTATTTTTTTTCCAAAATATTTTCTCAATAATTATTTTTCTAACATTTGCAAAACCTCAATTTTTTCGGAGCACCGACAAAAAGTTATAAGTAAATAAAAATCTTCAGAATATTTAAATAAAATTTTTTTTAATATCATATATCATCCAAAAATAATAAATTTTTGCAATAATTCTTTCGTTCCTCTGTGCAAAATAAAGTGATTTATGTTTTTCGTGAGTTCCAACATCTAATTTTTAATAGTTTTTTAATAATAGCGTTTTTAAAAAAATTGAAAAATTTAAGGTTACAAAATCACATTGTGAACCTCCTATGCTTTTGATATTTAATATTTTTAAAGGGATGAATAAAATTTTTACCATAATATTATGGTTAATGAACTCAGGGAATCATCGAGTTTCACATATATTAAAACTAGATTTTTTTAAAATTTGGTCGCAACCACTATTAGACGAAAGTCAGTGGACTTGACCCTATTGTAATAAATATGTTATTAAAAAGTTATAAACAATAAAAATTTTATTTATTTAATAACTTTTTAACAACATACTTATTACAATATAAAAAAAGGTAACAATTATAGAGAATGTTTCACTGAGTAAAATGAGCTTTTGTTTATAAAAATTGGTTAAAAATTGCAATTTTTGTCTGATTTGAAAGAAAAAAAAACTAAATGTTAAAAAAATAATTATTACCCTAATAACACAAGATATCTTGGGATATATTGATAATATCCCGTAGATATCCTAGGGATGTCCTATGGATATCAAAAGGATTTCTTAAGGATATCCAAAAAATCGGCGGTTTGGATATCCTTTGGATATCTGAGGATATCCACATGATATCTTCTGGATATCTCTATAGACTTTCATAAATGTCCTCCAGATATCCCATAGATATCGTCAGGATATCCCACAGATATCATCAGGATATCCCATACATATTGTCAGGATATCCCACAGATATTTTCAGGATATTCTCAGTATATCTTCTGGATGTCAAGAAGATATTCTCAGGATACTGTTTTTAAAGTCATTATGAGACTACGAGTGAGAATATTCTGTGAATTAAATTTTATATAAATAAAATAAAATGCAACTTTTTTTTCGAGAAAGTTATTTAATTTGAAAAATTATTAACTAATTTTTTTCTCATTCGTGATTCATTCCTTTATTCATATGCTTAATATTGTCAGAAAATAAATTGGCTTAAACAATATAAATTCTTCCCAGCAAATAACGAATAACTATTAATATTAATTATACATTAAGTGTATGAGTTTATTTAAAAACTTTGAAAAATGCGTTTCAAATCTTCATTTAAAATAAATTAGAAGCTCATAAGATTTTTGTTTTTATTATATTATTATTCATTATATTAGCTTAACAATTTTAACCTTTAAAAATTTTTAGTTCGAGATATTAAACATCCTAAGAATATCCCACGGACATCCTGAGGTTATCCTGAGGTTATCCCATGGATATCCTGCGATATAATATCCAATAGATATTTTGTGGATGTCTTAGGGATATCCTATTGATGTCCTGTTGATGTCCCACAGACCGTCGGTTTGGATATCCTAGGGATATCCTATGGATATCCTAGAGATATCCTATGGATATGCCAATATATCCTGGGAACCATTCTAGGATATCGAACATTGATATGGATATCCTAGGGATATCCTTTTGTTATGAGGGTAACAAAATATTTTGGAAAAATATCTTTTTTTTCGAAAGGAGTAAATCTAGATCTCCTAAAATTGTTTGAAATTAATATTTATTATATTTTTGTTTGCGTTAAAAACAATTTTTTAGTTTTCACAGATTTTTGAGGTTATGTTTACCCTCCACCCTATCCTTAAGGAAATACACAAGTGTATATCAATAGTTTTGTCTCACCAGAAAAAAATTAGTTCCTACGCCTCTGTATATAAATGACATATGATATTTATAGTCAATTTGTCCTAATAGTTTACAATTACAATTCGGATTTCTCAAAATATTGAGGGGAATTACAGTCAGATTACTTTCGAGTGTGTGTTTATAATTATTATTATTCAAATTTATGGCGATATAGGTTTTTTTTTTTTTGTCGTTCAGGAAGAAATGTTTTCTTCATTATTACTGACATGAGAAAATTATTTACAAAATGAATTTTGCGAAGGAACAAAAAGTAATTACAACGACGTGTTTTTGGAAACAGTATAATAAATGCAAATAGAAATGCATTATTTAGATATGAATGAAGACAAGAAGATATATAATAATACAGTTTTTCATAAGGTAAAATTATTATTTACAATTTGTTATTTAATATATATATACCCGCGATCCTTCCGCTTGCTGCGAGATTCGATAAAAGGCGGATATTTTTTTTTTTTTAACAACAAATTTTTTTATTAGTATTTTTATTATATTAAATAATAAAGAGGCAGCTTAAATTAATAATAAATATTTTTCTCGTAATAAATTTTAAAGATATGGTTATTTTGTTTTTTTTTCAACATTTTTCATTAAAAACTCTCTATATAATGTAATAAAAATCTATTTTCTATATTAAAGAAATAATATTTCCTTTGCAACAAATTTACTTTATTCTCGTTTTACTTTTATGTAATCCAAACTAATTAAGTTTTAACAATTTCCCTTTTATGTTGGTACAAAATAAATATTATTGATCGAACAAAAATATAAAAAGTAAAAGAAATAACGTAGTTCATATATATATATATAACTGCGATATTGAAACTTTATTGCAATTTCCTTATTTTTTTCAATGAATTGGATAAAATAAATATTTCCTTTTTCTCTGTGTGTCGAGAAAAAATAAGTCAACGCGATTTTTTTTTAATAATTTCTATACGATATTGAATTTTTTAATTTTTATTAAAATTTTTCATTTTAATAAATTTAAAAAAAAAAAATTTTTTTTTTTTAAAGAGAAACTTTAGTAAAGAGCCTGAATAAATAGTTTTTAATTTGATCATATTATATGAATGAGATCGCCCTTTCGTATCTCGCTTAAAATATCAAAATATACGAGGTATTCCATTTAAGCGTATTCGTGGTCATTTTTCGAATAACCTTTGAGAACTAATTTCACATAATTATAATATAATATAATATAATAAAACTCTTCTATTGAGCTTTTTCTTTCAACTTTCTCCACTTTTTTTTCCTGATAATATATTAATATTAATTTTAAATTAATATTAAACTGATATTAATTAATTAAAATTAATATTAATTAAATTTAAGACAAATTATCCTCAAATCAGGACGGTTAGACTAATATTTTTATTTAATATTTAAATACTCATTTTGCGTAAAATTTCTAATTTAATATTATATTCCCTAAGTCTGTATTTTTTAAAATATATCTATATATAACACTTGAACCGATTTTGACAAACGAATAATTAAAAGGGTCATGAAATTACTTATTTGACTTACTAATGTACTTAGATTTTTGACTCGCGAAATAGATTGTAACTACTCGACAACGACCTGCAAGGTGTAATCGATAAATTCATTTCGGTCAAGAGCTGAGGGTCTTTAAACTTTTGGTCAAATATTATTAGCAACTTTTTTTTTGTTTTAACAATAAAATTATATTGATTACAAATTTTCTAGCCGGCTATTTTTCATATTTTTATTTTAAAAAATTAGTTTAACGAAAAAAAAAATATTACACTTTTATAATTCGAAAAAAAATTTTGTTTTTTAAAAATTAATTAATTTTTTATTTAAAAAGTAAATTTAAAAAATTAATTATTTAATTACTTATAAAATCAATTAGATTTTTTATCATTATTTAAATATTTACATAATGTATTTTGAGTTTTTCTCAATCTTACTTGATATATATTATATTTATTTCTCAATAAACTCTTGAATATTATAAAAGATTTTTATAATAATTATCTTTCGTACATCTTAATAATTATATATTTCTAAATTACAATTTTTCATCACAAAGATAGTGACAATAAAATTTTTATATTTAAATTATGTTGTACATTTTTAATACTTTTTCTATAAAATTTTCATTTCACACTATAAAACATCATTTTTTATATTTTGACAATATTTTATTTTTTGCGATAACATTTCTTATCAAATCAAAACAAAATTCAAAGTTAATAATTATTATATTTATTATCGTAATTTTTTGTTTAAAAATGCGTTTAAAATATAAAAAAAAAAAAAAAGAAAAAAATTTTGTATAAAAGTTGAGAAAATTGCTTCTTTTTTATTTTGTAATAAAATTTTAAAACTAAACATAAATTTTTAATTAAAGTATTGATTTTCAATTTAAATAAAGAGAAATCGGACAGGCAGTCAAAACAAAAGTTTGTCCAACTTAAAATTTTTTATTTTTAATATTTTAAATAATTAAAAATTGAATTTTTAATATAAAAATTATAATTTTCTGACAGTAGGAGAAAATTTTGCAAATTCTTTTCTACTGTTAAAAAATTGTCATTTTTGTTAAAATCCAACATTCAATGGTCCAAAATTTCAAAAATTAAATTGCTAACACTGAAACGGTCTTAAATTTAAAAAAAAAAATTTCCAAGAATTCAAAAGTAATGACTAACTTTTGTTTCAATTGTCTCATTCTTGCAAAAAGAAAATTATTAAATAAAAACAAATAATTTTTTATTTTGAGACTATTTTTAAAAATTAGGCCTGCTTAATTAAAGAAGAGAAAAATTTTTTTTTTTATTAAAATTAGTTTATTTTTGATTACCAACTAATTTTATTTTCAACTTATTTATTTGCAATAATGTTAAAAATAAAACGATTTACCCACTGTCAGAGAGAAATGTTTTTTTTTTACATTTCAACTAAATACGCGGTAAATTTCAACAATTTCAATTATCAATTCTGTCAATAAATAATATACGTGAATAAATAAACACAAACTCTTCGCACAGTATATAATAATATATATAAATACTTGCAAGTTTATAACATATAAATTATAAATGTATTTGATATTTGGAATACATCAAGACAATATTGCAATGTGAAACTAGCGTTTCGAAATCTAGTTCAATCCCTCTTGTGCATCGCATTCAGGGAAATCAGGTCAATCGAGTCCTGAAATTCTTTACACTAAGAATTTTTTTAAACTTTTTTTTTCTTAGATATAAAAGAAAGTATAATAAATATATATATATATATATATTTTACTATACAATTATTTCGATATATAGAATTATATATGGAATATATTGAGCTTAACATACAATAAATAAATATGGGGCATTCCATGTGAGATTTTTATTCAAAAAATTTTTTTGACTGGAACATTTTTTTTTGGAAATCTTTATGAAAAATAAAAAAATATTTATTTTTTATTTTGATAAAAATTGGGAAAGTTATAATTTTTTTTAAATAATAATAACGTAACCACTACGAAAGCATCTAAATAATGGAAATTAAGTCTAAAAAGTCACTTTTTTTACTTTAATTTAATATTTTAGATGCTTCTGTTGTAGTTACGTTATTTTTTAATACATAGGGGAATATACTCAGGGTTGGACACTTCGCTTTTCTTAAAATAAGAACACTAGCGCCATCTATGCACGGACGTGGCGAAGCTTCTCGTAGTGAAACCTAACTTTTTGTGCCATTACATTTTTGGAGGATCAAAAGTAGCGTCTGCTGTGACGTCGGTGCATTTGTATAGGAACGAAAAAAGTTTTTATGAGCGATGTGATTAAACATAAAAAAATGAATAAAGAAAACAAGAAATCGTCAAGTTAAGTTTATTGCATGTATTGTGGGGTTCATGATTGAAGAAAAAATGAAGTGTAAAATCGAATCGCGAAACATAACTGCTTATGGTTAGCACAATTCGAAAATGTTACTTCTACTTAGGGTTGGAAACTTTTTACACTCACGGTTGGACACTTTGTTAATTATGAATTTGACACAATTTATAAATAAATATACAAATAAACATTGACGCACACACACATGGCACATATTCTGCCAAAGATATTAGAAAAATAATAATAACGTTAAAAATAAAAAAATGAACCTAAAAATCGTTTTCAGTAACGTTATAAATGTTATTTTATTTTTTTACCCATAATTCGCTTCGATTTTCACAAAGTGTCCAACCCTGACGAAATTTTTTTTTTTAAATGATCAGAACTTTTTTAATTTTAGACCAATCAATTTACGATCTCAAGCAAAAGTGTTTCTCTTTTGTACATCTTTCTAACAATATAACTCAATTGACTAAATTTATTTTTTTAAAAAAAGATTATAAACAAAGTCAAAAACGACGTGCAACCCTGAGTATATTAAACTATTTAAAATATTAAAGAAAAATCGAACAAATTTTTTTGTATAATATTATTTTTTTATCGATTAGTAGGACAGGAAAAAATGCAGTTCAATAGTATTCGGCTTCTGACGACGTTAAATTAAAAAAAAAATCATAACTTTCATAATTTTTATCAAAACAAAAAATACGTATTTTTTATAAATACTTCGGGAAAAAAAGTTTCCAGTCAAAAAATAATTTTTAAAGAAAATCTCACCACAATTATCCCATACATATCTCCTTATTTATCGAAGAATATTTTATTTATTAAAAGAAAAAAACATTTTCATTTTAATATTTAATGACAATAATATTTCTAATAATGTTAAAATAAGTATTTGTAAATTAATAAAGAAAAACACAGAAACACATTTTTATTTTTTTTTTTTTAATTTTTATGGATATTTTAAGAATTTTATCAAAAAAATAAATAAAATAAAAAAATTTTGCTTGTTAGTTGGTTCTAGTTTTATTTAAAAAATTTTTTTTTTTTATTCTTTTCTGAAAAATATAATGAAAAATAATTCTGAAATAAAATAAAAAAAAAAAATTAAATAAATTATTTATAGATAAATAATTTGCGTTATCGAATTTTTTGTACAATAAATAGTGGAAAATTGATTTTTATTTTAAAAAGTAAAATTCTATTATTGAAAATTTTTCAAATGGAAAGAGAATTTATTTTAACAAAAGTCTATTTGATATTATTCATATAGGGTATTAAATGTCCTATTATTGTACTGAAAATCTTTTTGCCTGTGAAAAGATTGTAATATAATGTAGTTTATATAAATATAAGTACAAGTGAATTGGATTCGTTGCTTTTGAAGTCTAACTACTGCTCTTGAAGAGCTTTCAAGACTCTCATGAGATCCCGAAGTCGTGTCGGTCCACCCCTAGATAACGTTCATATAAATACGGTTCAAAGCTTGACTCACGCTCAAGTTACAAAAACCTGAACTAACACATAATAAATCGATATACCAGTGAAGCAGCATCATCAAGAACCTTTTTTTTTTTTCTTTTCTATTTTATGTGTGTGTATATGAAAGTTTCAAGGAAATGTCTTTCCAAAAGACACCAATCAATTTTTTTTTTATCTTTGACGTCTTCTTATACTTATAATTTAATCCTTTGCTCATTTTTAGTCATCTGTATCGATCTTATCATTATTTTTAAGTACAGATATAGGAACAACTTTTTTTTTTTATTTCAATTTACAAAAATGGAATTTTAATTAAAATTTTAGATACAAGTGACATTGATTCCTTGGTTTTGTTAAAAAGTGAAAATTTATCAGTAATTTAAAAGAATTTTTAAAAGATTTCAAGGATTTTGTCACTGAAGAAAAAATTTATTTGATTTAAATAATCGATTACTTAATTATTATCAAATAAATATTTACTTTCAAGCAATTAATTTTTATTTTTATTAAATAAACTATATATTTGGACTAATAATTTTTGTATTTGAAACAAATACTATTTAATTGATTCAAGTAATAATTATTTAAAACAAATATTTAATTGATTCGAATAATAATTATTTAATATACAAATAAATATTTATTTGATAATTGTCAATTAACTGATTATTTGAAATAAATTTTTTTTCATTGCAGAAAATAGAATTTTTTTTTCAATTTTTAAGAAATAAATTACACAGATTGGACATTTTTCTAATTTTAATTTAAACAAATAATAAAATACAGTTTTTTCGAACACATATATTAAAGAATTATAAATTGAGATTGTAGTTATTCTTTTGAAATTAAAAAAAAAAAAATCTTCTGAGAATTTGTTTCAACGTTTTTCAAATTCGACACATTTTTTAAATAAATTTCATAATTAATTATTATTCATTAACAAATAAATGTCAATTATTTAAATAATTTAATTATATAGCTTTAAATGAATTGCCTTAAAAAATTATATTTTTTAACGCAATTTATTCAAAACTCATTTACCTAAGTATTTTTTAATTCAATTATTTTTTAATGTAATTATCATTTATTAAAATTAAATTATTTAAGTATTAAAATTTATATTGATAAAGAAAATTAAAATTTTTTTCGAATTTAATTATTTTGAAATTAAATTACTTATAATTTATTTATTTTTAAATTCAATTTTTTGGTGAATTTAAAATTATTTTCATAAAAGAAATTTTTTCCATTAAGTTTATTTTAAATTAAAAATTAACGTCAAAAAAAATATAGTAAAAAATAAATTTTTCTTGAAAATTTAAAAAATTAAAAAACCATTTTTGAAAAACAAAAAACAAAATATTGAAAAAAAACATCAATTTAAAATTTTTTTCAAAATTGAATTAAACGTTTTTAAATAACCTTATGTAAGATATAACCACATGTAAAAAGATAATAATTAATCTATCTATGTCACATTATTATAATAAATAAATAAATAAATAACGTTATGTAAGGCGGTAATGTGATTAAAAAAAATATTTAGTGGAATTTATTATTATTACTAAAGTAATGAATTTTTTCGTTCTACTTTTTAGTGACTTTCAAAAAAATAGGAAATATCAATATTTGTTTAAAAAATATGTTTAAAATACGTTTTAATCTTAAAAATTAATTTCAAACTGCTGTAAAAATAAAAATAAAATTGAATTTAATATGAAAATAATTTTAATGCGTTTACAAAATAATTTTATTGAAAAAACTTGAAAATTTTAAAGTAATTAAATATCAAAAATAGTTTGATAATAATAATAATAATAATTGGAACGAAAATTAATAAACTTTTTAAAAATATTATTCTTTTATTTTGAAAAATAGAAAAATATTCCTTATGCTCAATTTATAATTATTTTATTTATGTTAAAAATAAAATTAATTTTTTTTTATTTCTTTAAAACAAAAATTGAAAAAAAATTTCTATTCCCTAAATTTTAGATTAAACTTCACTTTTTTTTAATACAAAAAAATTCTTTTATAATTATTTATTATAAGAGAGTGTTTTATAATTTATTTCATTCATTAAATGTGTCGCATGCAATGATTTTTATTGAAATATTAATTAGATATACACGATTCAAATGCATTTGAGAGAAAATTACTTTTTACATTAAATGTCTTTTATAACTTACTGTATTCAAAGGGTACGAATCCGTAAACACTTGTAAATGAATAAATAAATAAATAAATATATCTACTTATATATTTTTAATAATTTATATGTAAACCTTTAAAACGTTGCGCATATTAATATATGAAATTTCGTTTTAATTAAAAGTAAATTTACATTAAGACTTAATAAAAGCAAGAAACATGCTAAATTTGCATGTCTAAAGGTTTTATAGACTGTATATATATATATTTTTTTTTTCAAATTATATTTTAATTAGAAAGATAAATTAAAAATTTTTTATATAAATTTTTCGTATTTAATATTTCAAACTGAGATTTTTTTTTTAAAAAAAGAAAGAAATTCGTTAAATTTTAAAACAGCAATCTATATTTTTTATATATGGGGCGGTCCACGCCATTCCAACATATCATCGATTTGGACATTTTTGATTTTGCTCAAATTTTTTTACCTTTTTTTACTCATTGAAAAAGAGCTTCCTGATTTTTTTCAAATTTTTTTATAAAGCCGTTTTCGAGATATAAATTTTTCAAAATATTTGAAAAAAAAAATTTTTTGTAATTTTAAGATAAAAATCTTATTTTTAAAAGTGTTTGTATATTTTGATTTTTTTCAAAAAATTTTCAAAAAAACTACTTCTTATAACACAAATTTTAAGCCTAGTCCGGTCGTGGGAAAAAAATTTTTAATATTTTTTTCGAATTTTTCAAAATTTTTAAACATTTGTTTTTTACTCAAATATAATTTCTAATGTTTCAGTCAAAGAGTTAATTAATAACAACTTATAAATGGAGGTAATTATAATAATAAACTTGTATTTGGACACAATCAAATTGTTGTGTACCCTGAATAGTTTTTGCCTTTGTATATCGAAGATTAAGAACTTCGGTTGCTCTTTTGTAATCTTCGATTGAGGAAAATTTGAAATCAATATTTTGGAAACTACTCGAATTTTTAGCCCATTCATATAGTTCCTGTGAAGTTGAAATTTTTTTATCAAATGGCAACTGAAGACTTGGTGCATTTATCAAAAAGTTATGAGCTTTCGAAAAAAAAAAATTTTTTTTTTCAAAAATTTTGAAAAATTTATATCTCGAAAACGGCTTTATAAAAAAATTTGAAAAAAATCAGGAAGCTCTTTTTCAATGAGTAAAAAAAGGTAAAAAAATTTGAGCGAAATCAAAAATGTCCAAGTCGATGATATGTTGGAATGGCGTGGACCGCCCTCTTTTTATAAGAGATAAAATTTTTATAACTAAGCAAATTAAGATTACTGGAAATTTTTTTTTTTTTAAATCACTTTGTGAAAATTTTCCCTTTTTTGGAATATATGCATAATTTTCTCTTCTTTGCAAAAAATTTTTTTTTTTTGAAGAAAACTAAACTTCGAAAAATACCGAACTTTTCAATTCTTTATTTTTTTATATCTTTGAATTTTTTTATTTTTTTTATTTACCTGGTATAATGTCACACTTTTATAGAACTATATAAGAAAAGTTGTTCCTGAATCTTTTCATACTGTCTTTCTTTAAACGAGTAATTAAAAAGTTTCATTTTATTCGCGAGAATACTTAATTAATTTGGATTCTTTCTGCATTCAGGAAAAATTCATTTCTATATGAAAATTATTTCTTTTTTTTTTTTTAGTATACAAGATTCCTAATTAAAGGCAATTTTTGTCACTGCATCATTGACATTTTAAAATAACTATAATACTTCTGATATAAGAATTATATATTGCACACACATTCATACTCACAGACATTTTTTTTTTAATATTTTTTTTTTTTTTTTTTAAGAAACTCTATCAATTATTTTATTCTTTTTAACATTGGTTGGGCGGATATTTTTTTTGTTGTTGTGTAATTACAAAATCTTAATGAATGGCAGAAATGATTTTGATACATCACATGAGAAAGGGATTTTATCCCATATTGCTATGGCATTAATAAAATTTGTAAATTACTTTTTTCATTAATGGGTAAAAAAGATTTAATTGCGCGTAAAAAAGTGGATGAAAATAAAATTCATCTAATACATTATTATTATTATTACCATGATTTTTTTATTCTAAATAAAATATATGACATCTACTTTCTTGTTGACTATCGATTAAATTATTGAAAAAAAATGTTTATTTTTATATTATGAATATTTTAAACATTTTAATTGGTCAAATACACTTTCTTTAAAATCTGGGTTTTTATATTTTTAACAATAACATACGTTAAATACGTATTATTAATTGATGTAGTATGTAAATTCATTTTTTCCATTTTTATAATATAATATTATATAATAGTAACGATCAATGTGACTAGAAAAGAGTAAAAGTAAGATATGAAGCCTCGTTTGATGTTAGAAATCTTACCTTCGCTCTTATTTTTGTCTGTTTTCCTTTTGATTTCTTGGTGCATACCCATATACATATTTCAGATCAGTCTTCGTCTTGTTCCTTTATATTTCTTTTGACTTTGACTTTTGAAGATTCAGTTCTTTCTTGAAATCAAATTTCACAATTTAATGATGCACTCCTAGGTTTAAATTTGCGCAAATTCCTTTTTTCTTTCTTTTTTCTTTTTTTTTTTGTTAATTCAATACATGGCAATATAATACTTTTTATCGTCTCTCAATATAATGACATTTAAACAATTAACTTTTTTTATACTTCTAAAAATTGTTTCCTGATATCCTCCTTCAATTATTTTTCTTCTGGGAATCACAACTGAAAACTGTTTTAATAGTTTGTTTTTTTTATTAATATTATTTTAACTTTAATTATAGTAGTACAGGCCTCGGATCAACATTAAACTGCGAACACAGTTGTTTTATAGTCACATTAAATTATAAACAAAAGTCGTAACAAAATTTTTATTAAATTCTTAATAAATTTAATTATAGTTAATAAATATTTTATTATTATGTTTAAATGTTCATTATTGATAATTAATAAATTAAACAATATCTTATCAATATTTTATAAATATGTAAATAAATAGATAATTAATAAAAAATATCAGTTAATTTTTTTTTTTTAAGTTTTTAAAGTTTGATTTAGGAAAAATTATTTAAATTCAGATTTTCGGCAAAATTTGAAAAATTAAATAAAAAAAAGTGTTCAATTTTAAACAAATTTTTACTAAATACTTTAATTAAAATTTTTACATAATTTGAAAATTAAATTCAATTAAAATTTTGACAAATTAAAATTTGCATAATTTGAAACTTAAATCAATTACAATCAATTGAACTTTGGATAAATTAAAACTTAAATTAATTAAAAATTTGATCAAATTAAAAATTAAATGAATTAAAATTTCATTAAAATTTTATGACAAATTGAAATTCGGAGTAGAAAATCTTTTAGTTCAGACAATAAAATCAATTGAAATTTGGACAATTTAAAACTTGAATCAATAAAAATTTTATCAAATTAAAAATTAAATCAATTAAAATTTAGACAAATTGAAATTTGAATTATTGAAAATTTAATCAATTAAATTTTGGATAATTTAATATTCGGATTAGCAAATTTTTAGTTCGGGCAATTTGAAGCTTAAAACAAATAAAATTTTGACAAATTGAAATATGGATAATTTGAAACTTAAATTAATTAAAATTTGGACAAATTAAAATTCGGATAATTGAAATTTTAAATTAATTAAAAATTTGGATAAATGGAAATTTTAATAACTTTAAACTTAAATCAATATTAAAATTCGAATAATTTGAAAGTTAAATTTTCAATTTTTTTTTCATTAAAATTTTGATAAATTGAAATTCGGAAAGTTAAGTCAATTAAATTTTGTATAATTTGTAACTTGAATCAATTAAAATTTAGACAAATTAAAATTCGGAGTAGAAAATTTTTTAGTTCAGACAATAAAATTAATTGAAATTTGGACAATTTAAAACTTGAATCAATAAAAATTTTATCAAATTAAAAATTAAATCAATTAGAATTTGAATAATTGAAAATTTAATCAATTAAATTTTGGATAATTTAATATTCGGATTAGCAAATTTTTAGTTCAGGCAATTTGAAGCTAAAAACAAATAAAATTTTGACAAATTGAAATAGGGATAATTTGAAACTTAAATCAATTAAAATTTGGATAAATTAAAATTAGAATAATTGAAATTTTAAATTGATTAATTAATTAGATAGATTGAAATTTCATTAATTTCAAGTTTCAATCGATTATGTATTTGCCTTTGATGAAAATTTTAATTAAATAAATATTCAATAAAAATAAAAACATATTGAAAGTTAGATTATATGAAATTAAAATTAAAATTTAGAATAAATTGAAATTTTCTTCGCTTAAAATTTGAATCGAAATTATTTTATAATTTTATAATTATAATAAAAAAAAAATTTTCTGCCATTTCTCTGATTTGGGGGGCTACCCTTGCTAATTATAATGAATTAACAATTAATTTTAATTATTCTATAAAATCTCTAAATATGGGGGAAAAAAAAATTCATGATGAACGATTTTTGCTATTCTATTTCTAATTTTCAATAAAAAATTACTATAGTTACTAAAAAAAAAAGTCAACAGTAAATAAGTTTCATTTTTGTTTAAAAAAAGTCGAAAATAATCGAAAAAGTCCTAAACTCCGAGCCCTGTACATATAAAACAGTATTATTTAAATTTTAATTAAAAATAATTGTAAAACTAAAACCAAAAAAAAACAAACAAAAAAATTGCTTGAAAATAAAACTTTTCCGAAATACACACATACAAAAAAAAGTTGATTAGAACATGTTAAATATTCCTCAAAGAGAAATTATGGAATTTAAAAACTGAATATAAGGTAAATCATTATATGATCGAAAATGGAAGAGACTTTCAATTAAAATGCATTAATTAAAAAAGTGATTGTGAAAAACGCGCAGCGGTAACTTCATTAAAAATTTTATAATATAACATTTAACCTATTTCAGTTTTTTGCATTTTAAAAAGTTTTTATATTATAATTTCAATTTGACGAAGATAATAATAGACTTGTATTGGATAATAGAATTTAAATTAATATGAATTTTAAAAAATCAAAATATTCAATAAATATACATACTTGTAATGGAGATTTTTTTTGATTTAAAATTCGTATCACTTTTTATATTATGATAATTTTTTTTTTCTTTTTAGGAAATATTGCAATCATCCGAATGAGCGTCTCTTATTTGTTGCTTCGTTTTTCTGGAAGCTCGTCTGATGAGACTTCTACTTCGAGGTTTACTTTTAACCTCTTCAACGACAGTTACAACGCTTGAACCTTGTGCTGCCAGAACTTGTTGAGGACTTCCTGAAGTAGTGCTTCCGGTTTTACTAGGACTACCTGACCTTGAAATTCAAGAAGAAACTTATCGTTAGACTTTGATGAACTTGCAAAAAAAAAAAAAAAAATTCTGCTGCCGTCGTATTGACAAAAAATTAACGATTACGTATGTAAATTTATTTCGATTATTACAATTATTATTATTATTTACTAATTATCAAAATTTTAACGTTCAAGTATTTATTACAATAGTTTAAATAACAAAATGATGACATTCGGAATAAATGAATTTTTAATCATGTTTTCTTTCAACGCAAAATCACAATGATTTCCTCTTCAGGGAGTCTGACAATAAATAAAATTATAAAAATTAATAAAAAAAAAAAAAAACTAACAAAAATACAGAGAAATTAATTTAATATGAGACAAAAATTAACAATGACACAATATAAATAAATTAATAAAGACAAATTTAAACAATATAACAAAAATACAAAATTTTTTTTATTACTTTTTATTTATTACCAGCAAAATTAAACTCGCGCAAGCGCGCCAAATTCAGTATTTAATTGTTTGTTATAAAGAAATTAAAGATTAATATTATCAATAATAATTTAATTTATTAGAATATTATTACATATTAAATGATAATAATGAAAATTATATGTCTACAGGCCTCGGATTATACGACTTTTTCCGACTTTTTTTAAAAATACGAATTTATCGACTTATTTGAATAAAATGCGACATTTTTTTTACATTTGAAAAGAAAATGTAAATAAAATACATTTTTCTAGTATAAAATGTAGATCTTCTTCAGATCTTCTTCAATTCAATTATTTAACAAATTTTGAACTAAAATGATTCTTCACTAAATTAATTATTTTTAATAATTTTAATGAAATACATCACAAATTCAATTATATCAAAATTATTTTTCAATTCAAATTTTTATGAAATTTAACAATTGTTTATAATTTAAAAAAAAATATCACAATAAAATTGAATTATTTTTTCAAAATTTCAATTCAAAATAAACTAAAATTCAATTGTTACCCGAAATTTTAATTCAAAATCAATTAAAACTCCAATACCTAATTATCCAAAATTTTCTATTTAAAATTTAATTATTTACCAAGTTTTCAATTTAAAATGAAATAAAATTCAATTATTTTCTAAAATTTCTATTCAAAATTAATTATCCAAATTTTCAATCAAAAATGAACTTAAATTAAATTATTATCCAAAATTTCAATTAAAATTCAATTATTTCCCAAAAATTTTCAATTTAAAATCAAATAAAATTTCATTCTTCTCAAAAATTTGAATTCAAAATTAATTGAATTTCAATAATTTGAATTTAAAAGCATCTAAAATTTAATTATTTCTACAATTTTCCATCGAAATTTTTTTTTTTTTGAAATTTAATAATTTCAATTATAACAAATTGAATTATTTTTAACTATTTTGATAATATTGTTTGAAAATTCAACTATCTGAAACCATTTTTCAATTAAAAATGATTTTCAAATTATTGTATTTTGTCCGCATTTTTTAATAAATTTTTAGTGAAATCATCTAAAATTTTAATTACAAAACACTTAAAGTTTCAATTAATTTCAAAAATCTCAATTTTAAATCTTTGAAAATTCAATTAATTTTAAAAAATGTTTTCCAAAAATTGTTTGATAAATTATTTTTAGTTCTGTAAAATTTAATAATTGTTTGAAAATTAACAATATCTTTTGAAATTTAATTATTTCTAAAAATTTCAACTTTAACCCTTCGAAAAGGATTATTATTAAAAAAAAATTTTTATTTAAAAATCTGTAAAATATTTTTGTTAAAATAAAAAACAAATCCACTTTTTTTTGGAATATAAATCGACTAAAACGACTTTTTGTGTCTTTAAGTTGATTCGAGGCCTGTGTTTTTATAATTAATATTTAATAGGTATTCGTTGGCCCCTGGTACCTTAAAAATTAATTTTTTTCAAATTACTATCTTGTACGAAATTTCCTGGAGAATAATTTTAGATAACCTTTTTTAAAAATAATTTAATTGAAAATAGTTTAAGATAATTGAATTTGTAAAGAATTTCATTCAAATTATTGAAAATAATTAATTTAGAGAATAATTTTATAGTAGAAAATTTGTTAAAGAATTGAAATAAAAAAGATCTGAAGAAGATCTATATTATATAATAAAATAGGCGTATTATATTTAAAAATTTTGTAAAAAAAAAAAATTTTTTTAAAAGTCGAAAAAGTCTCATCTTATTAAAATAAATCGAAAATAATCGTATTTTCGAAAAAATGTCGAAAAAGTCGTATAATTCGAGGTCTGAATTTTTGTCTAATATTAATCCTGATAAAATTAAATTTACAATGTTACGTCTCAAATAGAGAAATAACTAAAGAAATAATATTTTATTTTATTTGTGGCCGCTCGGTGATTCAGTGAATTCCTGTTTCATTTACAGAGCAGAAGGCTCTGAGCTAAGGGTACAGGAAAGAAAGAGAATAGTGATTTTTAATGACAAGGTTACAAAGTTATTTAGACAAACATTTAGAGTTATAAAATTGATCTTTGAGAGAGAGTATCCTGAAGCAACCATTCTTGAAATAAGGGAAAATCAGCATTCCACTGCAACAAGGAATGTAAAGGTTACTACAAATTTTTATAAGGAATTAGGAAGGATTTAGATAAAAAGTATTACAACTTACCTTGAAAATTTAGATGTAAGATGTATGAAAAAGGACCACTGCTGTGTCCTAATTATGATAGCAACTTCTGGTACCAGATATAGTTTGAGAGCTCACAGGAAGGTTGACGGGCCTTGGTGATGACCACAGGTCCGGAGTTCAGTTGATTGAATCAGCTCTTCTTGACGTAGAAACTTTTAACACTTGACACAGAGATTCTTCTAAGTCAAACTTGAGTATGAAATCGAGCAGAGTAACAACGCTTGTACTAGATTTCGTATGTGAACTGGTACCAAATATGAAGTAGAAGTAACGTGTATGATGAAAAGTTCTGAACTGGTAGATGTTACACGTATGAAGATGTTTTGAGAACTGGTTGATGTTATACGTATGAAGAGGATTCCAGAACTAGTCTCTCCATGAAAATGTAGCCCTTTTATACTGAGTTTTCGTAAGAGAATAGATAAAATTTTATTGTCCTACTATATATTTTCACCCTAATTTTGGAAGTCAAAGTTCAGTCCTTCTCTCTCAGTTGAACGTAAAAAGGGGGGTGTGAACCAGCTTCTTCAAGATACAAAAGTATGACTATGATTATTCGCAGCTGTACTCTTCTAATGTGGTGATACCACAGGGGTTCGTCACATAGGATAATTGGAAAGAGCGCTTTTATTACATCGTTTGATTTTAGCACATAGGGAAAATTAGAAAGGGATCATTTTGTTTTGTGGGGGTGTGAGCTCTTCTGGTATCATAAAAGATTTCTCGCTTCTATTTGTATGTATACAGAAATAGAAATACAGTAGATTGTCGTAGAAGGATACAAAACGCAGGGGTCTTTTATATATAAAAGAATGATGTTTAGTTGCACGAAAAAAAGGGGCGGAAATTGAACATTTAAGAGAAAAGTATTTAGAGGCGTAACAAAAACACGTGTGCTTGTCGCAGAGACATATAACTCGGTATTGATTAAAAGGATTCTTATAATTATGAATGTAAAAGTTACGGTGACGTGACACCTCCCCCCTTTAAAATTCGGAAATTAGAAATGAAATTGAATAATTTACGAATTCAGTTTTTGAGAAGAGTTAAGTTATTTGAGGGAAATGTCACTTACAATTTTGATTATATTATGTAAAGTTTTTAGACATCAATGTTTAAAAGACCTAAGAGAAAATACGTCATACACATAATATAGTTTCACACCTTATTCACACCAAGTTAAGATACAAGTTTATATATATTGAAAAATACATACGAATATTATTGTTAATGATTTCAAAGATTTTCACACATATCCCGTACTATCATTTTTGAGTTAATAGTCATACATGATTTAAAAATGATTTAATCATAGAGATTGGGATCTTATGTATAGAAGCATATACAAATTTGAAATACTTTCGTAAAAGCTCACAGAATTAGTAGAAGTAGTATATAAAAAGGAATTTTAATTATATTTATAAAGACACTCATACCATGTATTATAGAAGATTTTAAGGATGTATTATTATTATTTGCTCTTTACACATTGGTTAATTTAGAATAAGATATAAGTTTTCAATACATAGTGCATACAGATAGATTATATTCTGATGATGACAGAGTTCAATTATATTTTTTATACATAATTTATAATATCATTTTGATTTAGTGATTATACATTGATTTACGCAGAAGTAATTTTATTATAAGATATTAGAAAAACACACAATGATTTAAGATTTATCAAGATTTTGGAATATGTTATTTCTAATCACACATATAGAGAAACTCATTCCACACAGTAAAATTTATAATAGACATATATGTTAAGTAAGTTTTATATTTAATTCCTTAAATTAATCGCATACATTTATAATATAAAGGAGGAAGGCAGAGAAAAAAAAATTTCTAACATTTTCCTTTCTGAACGCAGGTATAATTTTTGAAACAGATTTACATAAGCTTATACATCCCTCCCTCCTTTAAGAGAAAAACGAGAAGTATTCGAAGTTTTGACATGAATAGAATTTACAACAGTGATTTAAAGAATTTTGGCTTTAATATTAATTAATTGGATAATTTTCGTTCTTTTTTTTATTGTAACAATTTCTTGCTATATGATATTTTTCGAAACATTGCTCACAAGATAAGCTGCATTTGCTTAATTAGTTGCAATCTTTCCTTTTATCTTTATCAATAGAATTTTTTTTTTTAATTTTTGATTTCAATACAATCATTCCATGTTCTAAATGGCATATTGCTATTTTTTAATTCCTCGACTCCAGTAATCAATATATTGGTTTAGAAAACTAAATTCGATTGATAAATTCTCCATAACACGAATTGGAAAATTTATTTATTTTTACCATGCCCGTTCATATTACCTAGAGGAATATAAGATTCTATCAGGTAACGTTGTTCTCATTTTCAAGACTACATGCTTCTCTTCTTTTTTAAAATAAATAATTTTTGAAAT